AACAACAACAACAACAATACTTATTACAAGGGAACTTAAAAACAAGTTCTAAAAACATAAGAGCTTCTTCATAATCTAACTTAAATTTTTATTTCCTTCCTCTCTTTTAGGGTCACTATTTCTGCTTTGAGGACCTTTCTATTTTTATTTTACCATCTGTAGAAGTAAACATAGTTTTTCTTGGTTAGTGCTGACCCCCCTCCCCCATTCCCAAACAAAAAGGAAAAAAAAGAGAAATAGTAATCAATACAATTTTCAATATCGCTGAAGTGTGGAGTAAGGACCCATACAATATCTTATTCTGCCTGGATTATTTCCAGTATTATTTACCTAGGTTACCTGTGCCTTTGTCCTTCCAAGAAATTTACATATTACCCATGGCAACTGCCTTCAAACTGCTATTATTCTAGGTTTCTATCATCAACATGGACTTGCTCTAAAGGTCATGAGTTAATGTGATTAGCTAAATTGTTGTCAGGTGCATTGAATCAGTTCTGACTCATAGCAACCCTATGTACAACAGAACAAAACACTGCCCAGTCCTGTGTCATCCTTACAATCATTACTATGCTGAAGCCCATCATTGCAGCCACTGTGTCAGTCCATCTCATTGAACGTCTTCCTCTTTTTCACTGACCCTCTACTTTACCAAATATGATGTTCTCCTCTAGGAACTGGTCCCTTCTGACAACATGACCAAAGCACATGAGACAAAGTCTCAGCGTCCTTGCTTCTAAGGAGCATCCTGGCTGTACTTCTTCCAAGACAGACTTGTTTGTTCTTCTAGCAGGCAGTCCATGGTATATTCAGTATTCTTGGCCAACACCATAATTCAAATGCATTAGTTATTCCTCATTCTTCCTTATTCACTGTCCAGCTTTCCCATGTCTTATGGACTGAACTGTGTCCTCCCAAAATGTGTGTTGTAAATCCTAACCTCTATGCTGTGGTTATGATTCCATTCAGGAATGGGTTACATTTGTTATATTAATGAGACAGATTAGTGTAGGGTGTGTCTTAACTCATTTTTTTTTTTTTGAGATATGAAAGAGATTAAACAAGCAAGGGAGAGAAGAAGAGATGGGATAAGATAGATGCTGACACATGGAGATCTCCAAGGAATCAGGAAGCAGAAACCGAAGAGACAAGGGCTTTCCTCATGGGCCAACAAAGAAAGTCTTACCCTAGAGCTGGTGCTCTGAATTCTGCCTTCTAGTCACCCAAATTCAAATTGTGAGAAAATAAATTTCTGTTTGTTAAAGCCATCCACTTGTGGTATTTCTGTTAGAGCAGCACTAGATAACTTAGAATTTTGTACTGGGAAAGTGGGGTGCCATTCTAATGGATACATAAAATGTGGAAGTGATTTTGGAATTGGGTAAAGGGTAGAGACTGGAAGAGCTTTAATTTAAAAAGTTAATAGTAGAAGCCTAGATTGTCTTGAAGAGACTGTTGGTAAAATTATGGCAATAATGCAGATGCAACGCACTGCCATCGAATTGGATCCGACTCATAGTGACCCCTCCTTGAGTTTCTGAGGTGGTATCATTACAGAAGTAGCTTGCCCAATCTTCCTTCCAGGGAGTGGCTGGTGGGATTGAACCACCAGCCTTCTGGTTAGCAGTCAAAATTATGGATTCAAAGGCAATTCTGGTGTGGGCTCAGAGGCAAGTGAGGAGAGCTACAGAGCTCTATCATCTTAGAGAACACATATGGTGTCAGCAACAGAATGCTGGTAGAAATGTGAATGTTAAATGTGCTTCTTTCTGGTGAAGATTTAAAAGAAAATGGACATCTGACTGAACAATGGAGGAAGGCAACACTTTTTATGCAGTGGCAAATAACTTGTCTGAATTATGTTCAAATGTTTGTAGAAGGAAGAACTTGTAAGTGATGAACTTGGATATTTGGCTGATGAGATTTCTAAGCAAGATCTTAAAGGAGCTGGTATCCCCTTGCTGTTTACAGTAAAATGTGAGAAGAAATAAATGGACTTAAAAATGAACTGTGCAAAATGAAAACAAAACTTAAAGATTTGGAAAGTTGTTTTGTACAAACTAAGGACATGTGTCCTAGAATGTTCACCAAGGACATGTCTACACAATGTTTTATTGAAGAGATTAAGCCTCTGGCTGATGGATCTAACTAACTACCACAGCACAAAACCCATCAGCTTAGACTGAAGAGGACAGAGAAAGAAGAAAAGGAAAGAAAACTGTCTGCCTCTTGGAATTCTACAGGCAGGAAACAGGCCAAAGGAACTATATTTTTTGCCCTCCAAGAAATGAAATGAACCATTCCTGAAGCAGCTCAGAGATCAGAACTGTTGGAAGTAGCATGGGAAGCAGGATCTTCTCAGATTCAAAGGGTGGAGTCACAGTCCTCTGCATCTCAACGTGGTGGAGGGGCACAGTCTCCTAGGTTTCAAAGAGTCATTATCTTTGCCAACTCAGATTCTGAATGTGGGACTACCATTAAGGTGTGCCAGAGAGATAGAGTTG